GCAAGGTTACGGGGGACACTTCGGTGCGTGTTCTTTGGTTCTCTCTCTCTCTCTCTCTCTCTCTCTCTCTCTCTCTCTCCCACGCACACACACATGTTAAGAGTCGTCTGAAGCTACATCAAACTCCTCATGGCAGAGCACCTGCTCAACGTTTTTGTGGATGCTTCATTTCACACCAAGACAACAGGGAGGAAGGAACACAGATCCACACGCACACGCACATGCACACACCCCCACACACACACACACACACACACACACACACACACACACGGAGAGAGAGAGAGAGAGAGAGAGAGAGAGAGAGAGAGAGAATGGCTTTCGGGGTGGAAGGTGGCCAAGTGCTACTTTCTGTTGGTTTCCATGTGTATCCTGCAGGTCCACCCATGGCACGAAGTGGATATGATGCCCACTGCATTAATCTTGTACCATTGAAGGGTTTCGCAGAAAAACATGGGGCCATGATGTCTGCGAAAAGTTGCAGAAAACCTATTCATGCAAATGTCCCTTTTTCGAACCCTGCAATTAGTTTAAACTTTAAACGCTTCTTGACTGGAGCTGACAGGGGTACAAAGGTCTCCTGTCTTCCTTTTTTTTTTCCCCGGGTTTCTGTCATCCTTTTTTTTCTTTTTTTTTTTTCTTTTTTTTTAAAACGGGCCCAGTGCCCAAGGCTTGGGGTTTCTTGTTCAGGGGCCATGGTAATTTTCTCTGTATTGTTCCCATTTTAACAGATGTTCCGAAGGATATCTGCTGTCGTGAAGTTATACACAGGTCAATTTTCCTTCCCCTTACTTGTGGCAAAATATAAGCCACAGGAGGATTGCTAATCGATCGCTGGATGGAATTATCCAGTCGATTGGCTTCAATTCATTAATCCTTAAGGATGGACCAATCAAAAATTGTATAACGTTTAATTGATTCGTCTCAATTCACAAGTTGATTATTTAATATCTATCGAGTTCTTAGATAGGATTGGTTATCAAAAACATGCCATTATGCATCCTTCTATTTGAGCAAAAAACGAATCACTGAAGGAGAGTAAAATAAAGAAAAAACTGAAGAATGAGCAATGAGTGAGTAAGGAAGTAAGAGAGAGGGAGCACCCACATTCCCCGACTATCTTTGCAAAACAGGCAAAACCAAACCAAACCAACAGTATTCAGCATAAAACAAAACCAGGCCAACATGGTTGTTGATTTTTCCCATGCACAGCAAGCACATTACGTAGATCACACAGGCAAAGCAGGCAAAGCAATTCAAAGAATGCAAAGAGGATGAAACTTCATCATGAAAAGGAGGAACACAGTGAAGGGCAAACAAAAACAACAACAATCAGTGAAAACACTCAAGAGTCAAAACCAGATAAAACAGTCAAACGAACAAATGCATGGATCAATCAATCACCAAGCAAACAAACAATGAGATGATCCTATTTCCCGTTGGAGGCCCCACACACACCTATTTACCCACCCTTCCTCCCCCCCACCCACCCACCAGAGGCCCACCACCCAATGAGCTTGACCCCTCTTCCACATCTATCTCTCTGGGCCTCTTCTTCTCCCCTCCACTCCCTAACACTCCTGCGCCTGCCCCCATCATCCCCTCCAGCTGCCATATTGTGTGCTCCCTTGGCCCTTCTTCCTCCTCACGAGATGACTGGCTCAAGAGTCCCGTCAACAAAGCAGCAGCAGCTCCCGGCCCTTCTCTTTCCCCAGTCATTCCCAGCTGTGCTCTGGGTCCTATTCCCAGCTGCGGCGACCTTGTCGCCGTTTCTTCCCCTGTTGCAATGCCCAGTCGGGCCTTCACGTCCACCTCCAGCAACGTCCTGCTTCGTCCAATCGGCCCTTGGGGAAACCTGAGCCCTGAACTACCCATCCAGAGATTGCCCATTCCCAGCCCTCCTGCATCCAGGACGCTCCGTTGCTCCGGCTGCTGCGGCAGAAAGCTCCCCAGGGTCCTCTCTCCCGTGTTTGGAGGATAGAGCTCTCGCACATGCCCTGAAAATCCCCCTGCACTGGGGCCAACTGGGCTGTCGTGGCCCCCACCTCCAGGCTGTGCACCCGCACCAACAGAGCTGAAACTACCACCAGGTGACTGCGCTGCAGGTGAATAAATGGACATGGGCATCATCATGCCCCCTGAGCCTGAGCCGGGGCTACCACTTGCCAGTTGACTGGAAGCAGATTCCCCTCTGCGGCACTGGCCCTCCCGTCCCCCGGACCCGAAGTACCCCTGGCCGCCCAATCCAACCCCGCTGAATGGCATCTGTCTGGCATCCCCACGACCCCTGTCTGACTCCCGCTCCCCCCTCATCCTCCCCAACCCTGGCTCCATCCCCAGAACTGCACTCAGCCTTTTTGCTCCCTGTTGCTGTTGGTGTGCTTGTTGTGGGTGTTGTGGTTGTTGTGGAGGCTGCTGCTGTTGTTGATGTTGTTGTTGTTGTTCCACCTCATCCTCTTCCCCCTTAACTATCACTGTCAGATCCAAACCCTTCTCAGTATGCCCTTCCGACAAACTCACCACATTTCCCTCGCCCGTCCAGTACTTGGGCAGATCGAACACCCGTGACCAGTTGTAGCTACTCCCGCCAGCAACAGCACCAGGGTCTCCCACCCTCACCATCGGGGACAGAACATGGAGCTGCTGAAGGCCAGGGGAGGCCGGGGGAGTGGATTCACCGCCCATTCTATCACCAGCCCCCATGTGGGGGGGTATCCCTGACGAACCGCGAGAATGTGCAGGTCCCATCCCCATACCCGGGCTGCGGCAACTAATGCCCACAGGTGTGTCTTGTTGCTGCTGCAAATGGCTTTGTGGTGAGGGAGATTGAGGAATGCCTCCCCCACCAGGTCGGCCCCCTGCCTCAGGAAACAATCGGAGCGTCACTTCTGCAGGGCTAGGTCCGGTCGGTCCACTCACTGGAACTGGGGCAGACAGGGAGGGCAGTGGTGAGAATCCCAGACCTCCAAGCGATGGGATACCGAGCCCCGAAGTCGATCCCCCAGATGGGCTTCCTGGCCCACCGCCACCACTTCGAGCCCCGCCTCCAGAACCTGGTCCACCACCTGAACCACCTGGTACACCGCTGCCTTGCCCAGATGACCCGAATGTGGGCACATAATATGAGATCATGTCTGACTGGTGCAGTGAGCTCTGCGGTGTTTGCCAGCTTGATCCCAACTGAGCTCCATAGAGCTGTGCCCCCTGGCCCCTTAGCCCCTGGAGTGTCTGCCCATGCTGACTGCTTAAGCCCATCACACCACCCGGACTCATTCCAACAGTTCCAGCTCCAGAACCACCTCCTCCTCCCCCATGGATCCCGGGCCCCTCTAGGCTGCTGCTGCCCTGAAGTGGCGAGGATGGAAGAACGAGGAAGGGGGATTGTGGCAGCATAGACCGGTCTGACCTGCACACAGAAAACAATTGTCAGAAAGACTCAGAATCGGACTAGAAAATCTTGTCTCACAATCCCAAACCAACTGCCATGCAAATTAATTTGTTTCACAACACCAGTAGAGCATGCTATAGAACTCTGATGCAGACTTCATCCACATATATTGACCGAAAGAGCCGAACATTACTGCAATCCAGAAATTCACAGCTCAAACGTGTACTCCACACTTCATTTCCTGAGAAGCATAGCTCTTCAATGTGCTTCTGGAATTGCCAGGAATTTTTCTGAGACTCTGCTGAACCTCCGCCCTTACCTGTTCTGCAACACAGGCACATCATCCACCCCGCCTCACATAAGGCCCCATCCCCCTTCACCTGTCCTTTCTTTTTCTTTTTTTTTTCTTTTCTTTTGTGAAGCACACAAGCCCCTTCTATTCTGGGGGGCATCAGTCCGGTTGCTTATTATCGGGAAGCATTAGTACGAGAAAGGAGCAAGAAAAGAAGAGTGGAGAAGGACCAGCCTGGCCCTTGCAGTACTCGTCACCTGCTCAAGGGGGGGCCTGCTATGAGCCGAACCCCCCCCAAACCATAGCCTTCCTAGAGGGCTTCTGCTGGCTGGGAAGCTTACTGGCAGCACCCAGACACTCAGCAGAATGGCCTTAGGGAGGACAAGGTGCGGGGGAGGCCCTCCTAGCAGTCTCTCAGGCCGCAAATCTCAGGATTGATCGTAACCATTCAGACAAAAAAGTCCACGAATACCGGCAACCATCGTTTCTACTATTGTTTTCCTCCCTACAACTACCCTTCAGCCGTTAAAAGGAGCTTTTCTATGATCCCACCTCCCCTTCCTGGTCCTTCCCCCTGTCGACCTTCAAGCTTCCTATCACACAGTAGCCTATTTTACTTGCCTAGGCTTTCAACGCAGTAGTCCCCAGCTTGCAACACAAAGTTTGTCCTAGCCTAAAGCTCAACCCCCC